ATGCATAATGAGAAAAGAATGCTTGGAGAATTTGGCACTCGCAAGACATACTGAAGGCAAGACGGACAGAGAGAAACAACGAATAACCTGCCTGATGAACAAGTTAGAATGAATAGCAGAATAGGGGCGATAGTAAGGAGACATTTTAAGAGCTAGAAATGACAGGAAGTGGTGGAGAGCCATGACCGTCCATGTCCTGAAAGATGACGGCATATAGATGAAGAAGAATGTATTATGGAACGTACTCACCGGTGGCATGGCCCAAGTGTAAGAGCGTAGAACCAAGCTGCAAGCAATAAGACAACGAAGGACTTCGTAAATTCCATATATTCTGCTGTCTTGTCACATTGGCGTAACATCACGTATTGTTATATATGAACATAATTATTGTTATTTACGTCTGAGACGTTTTTGATATTAATACATATCGGAATAGACTAATGCTTAAAGATATCTGGAAGCGTATTATAATGTGATGCTGCGTTTAAAAATGGAACAAGACCGCGAGTTAAACAGATTTTGGGATCTTAATGATTTCCCGTCTATCACTCGCTGTCCAGGTGACAGAAAGCTCAATTTAGTCGTGTAGGTGAACGTGTTACAGCCGATAGGTACGTGTCACCTGTCAAATATATGTTTAAAACCGACGCGTATATCGAACAGACAAGCGGGCACAAAATTAACAACATCTGCTTCTAATTAAAGTGCCGCTAAGTGAATTTACTTACTTATTAAATCGTACTAATGAGATTTTACCAGCAGACGTACACTCACATCTGTCTGTCTGTCTGTCTGTGTGTGTGTGTGTGTGTGTGTGTGTGTGTGTGTGCACACGAGAACACGCACAAGTGGTTGATGTGAGGTTTATCGGCGCGGAAATTGGACAAGCCGAGTTTAAATTCAGTGCGATATTGTTTCATTTATTTCAGGCTAATGCCCTCAGAAAAAAAAACTTGAATTTATCTTAAACCAGCTTTGGGTTAAATAACAGGAGAGGAATTGCTTTCTTGCCTTGAATGGCAGCCAGTTTAGGCAAAAGAAAACTTTGCTACGTCATCCGGAGTGGATCACGTTTAAGCAAATATTAAGGACTTAAGGATGTACGGGTATCTTAAGTTTTCTGTAGAGAAAAGGGTACAGCGAGCCGAGTTCAAACTCCAGCCTAATCTGCTGTGATCACTTTCACACAAATTTCCTTGAAAAATGCACGAATTAATCTCTTCTCTCCCTAGCTATGGGTTAAATAGCGAATTAGATAGGGGCGATAGACTTGAATGGCAGCAAGTCTATAAGGAATATTCCAAACTCAAAACCGCAAAATCAACTCCACTATCTTTCCGAAGACATCATAGCAATTCACAGGTAAAGAAGGAAAGGAAGTCATGGAGAGTTATAATCGCCTACTTCCGCTTTGATATTATTCGGAGAGGTTAAACTACGTGACAGCGAAACACGTGGAAGGCTCACCGGAGATTTAGGGTCATTATCCATCCTCCTGTATGGAACTGAATGCTGGAAAATTCTCATCACAGATGAAGAGGAGACTTTAGGCAACAGATATGTGGTTCTACAGGAGGATGCTGAGGATACCGTGGACCGAACATATGAGCAACAACACAGTTTTAGAGAAAATAGAAACAAACAGGAAACTCATACCTAAAAAAAGAGACAGTTAAAATTTCTAGGGCACATAATGAGGAAAGGGAGCTTGGAAAATTTGATACTCACAAGACAGGTTGAAGATAAGAGAGACAAAGGAAAATAACATAACTTGTTTAGAGAACTTGAGTAAATGGATGGCAGAACAGGGTCTAGGAGAGCTAACAGAAAGACTTTATTAAGAGCTACAAAGTACAGGAAATTCTGAGACTTTATTAAAAGCTACAGAAAGTTGTGGAGAGCCGTGTACAAATGGAATATAGAAGAAGTAGTATGCACTGGCTCTTTGTTATAAATAATGTAGCTAATTCTATACAAGCCTTCATCGCTTGAATCAAATTATGCACGATTTGTTTAGTGATTAAGTTCTAAAATGAATTTGTGACGTCGAAATCCACGGAAAGTCTATAGCACACGCACATCCAGATATATCCATTAATTCCTTAGAAATTGCTTTGTTTACATTTCGGATACAAAACTGAGCAAATATGAAGCTTTCGAGAAAATCTGGACAAATGAATGTGCTTTAAAAGGCTTCTAATAAAAAAGGTATGACTGTTTAAAGTACCAATTTTAGTCTGACATTTTACAATCACAATCGGTGAGACGACTACGAAACTCCACAGACAAAGCGCGACCACCAGACTCGCCCCCACTCCCGTCAGATGTACTCACTCTTGCGCTCCATTTATCGAGTGACTGAGGCTCGGAAATTTGCATGAGCCACAAATTCGTCTCGCAAAATATCTGAGCAACCAGATTAGGGTGTTCTTAAACTATAGCTTTTGTATCGGCCATGTTTTCTTCAAAGTTTCCTGCACACGAGACACGTACAAGAGCGTTTTGTTCCAGAAGTTTTGCCGTTTTCCCTTTTACAAGGTAAATAGAACCTTGCTTGATTATGAGGCTCTCCGTAGCCGAACGGTTAAAGCACGTCGGATATGACAGTGGTTTCTCCTACGCAGGTATGAATCCTACTGGTAGGCACATTTTCCTTAATAAGTTTTCTCGAGTCTATATAAATAAATACAATTTAAAATCAAACAGAGCTTCTAATGAAATACGCATACCCACTCAAAATAAGGTTTGAAGTGTAAAAAAAAAAAACTATATATAATATAGAGTAGTATACAAGTGGTAGTCTGTCCGATTCGACAATGACAACTCTGTTGCCAGGGTGAACTTGAAGGTGAATGGGAAATCTAATGCGGGAACGGCAAAGACGTCTGCGGTAAAGACATTTAAACTGGCCCGGAGATGTTTATGTGTTTCTACTACTGTCTTCTTTTTTGTACAGGAATCATTGATGCTTTCACATCGTTTGTCTTCAAATATATGTGATACTTCGGGCGTCAGGACACGCCATTCAGTTCGGTTCTGTATATACTATTCAACTGTTTGCGGCTATTCCGGTTTAGTCAATGTTGGCCTTGATACAGTCATTGAGAACTTTCAATGGCCTACTATTATTTCTCTTTCCATTACAGAGCTCTCTATAGTGAAGTAATATATTATAAGGCTCTCTCTCGATATATATATATATATATATATATATATATATATCGAGAGAAAGGACAGTCAGGTCAGAATGCACAGGTCTTAAGCGTTTCTTTTTTTAAAAGTGCTCAATGCAACGTAGAGCATAATATATTTTTACTTAAAAAATATTTTACATCGGGACACGAAAATTTCTATGTTTCGGAACTTAAATCTATTCCTTTATCAACATCACTTTCACGGATCTTCAGGGTAAGCTGGCTAAAGAGGTAATGTCAATATATATATATATATATATATATATATATATATAATGTTAATTAATAAACAATAAAATCCAAAATCACCTCTGCAAGAATAAAGACATCAGTTTTAATATTTGATATTGCTAGGATACACTTGGAATATATACCAACGGATTTATAACCTTTAATCTCTCTCTCTCTCTCTCTCTCTCTATATATATATATATATATATATATATATATATATATATATATATATATATATATTACCGCTCTAGTAGCATAACACAGAATTTCATGCACAACACAATCTTCAGGCGCTGATTGCTAACCGATCGTAATATAGCTATTTTCCAAGCGTAGCTTAGACGTGACACAAGGCTGAAAGTATGGAGCACCCAGTGAGGATCGAAATCACTACTTAGTCGTAATTGTTCTCGTACGACAAGCTTTCTCACCATTACATCGCCTCGAGGTGCGCAACTGATCGTAATAGAATTTAAATTTTGAGTTTAAATAGATAAAAATAAATGTAGAAACAATTAAATTAAAAAATATTACATTATATACACAAAAAAATATGCACAAAACATATAAACATGTCCACAAAACATATAACATGTGCACATAAATACAGATCCTTACAATTTACATACCTTCAACTACGAAAAGGTAATTATAATTCAAATATAAATATACACATCTAAATTATTATAAATATAATAGAAATGTTCACATAAATATGACGGCATGTAGACATATGCAATTATATAGATATATAGGGATAGATTGGGATATTTAAAAAATACAAATGTGTACAAACAAATTATATATTTCATTAACACATTTCATTATATATATATATATATATATATATATATATATATATATATATATATATATATATATTTAAATAAGTTTTTTTTATGGTACAAAATTTAACAATAGCTACGAAAAAGCAAAATTTATATAGCATTTTTAAAAAAGCTAAAAAAGAACAGCCGGTTTCGTCTCAGGACTTATCAAGTTTATTTTTCTGAGATATAAAAAATATATAAGCGTGTAAATTAAATGTAAATTCAATTAATATAACGAATGAAAGGGAAAAAAATATGAATTTCAAGAAACTAGAGTCCAATAAAATTTAGACCCAGTAAGCATTCCCTCTGTTTAAAGAGGGGATGCCCACGGGGTCTGATATACAAAAACTCTAGAAGTTTGAGGTGATATGTGGAGTGGGACCTAGATAAAATCAAAAGACGGTCGCCACTAAAATCAACCAAACAATTCCTGTTATTTATTACATGCTTTATATACATATATATATATATATATATATATATATATATATATATATATATATATATATAAAAGAAAGAACAGTAAGATATATAATCCAGTGTTCTTATAGATATTTTTATTTTTACTAAATAGTGCTCAGTGTAAATTTACAGAGGATTATTATAAATAAATTAATTTTAAATATGGTTTTTTCGCTGCACAGTTCTAACCATGTTTCAAAAACATGGTTAGAACTGTGTAGCGGAAATACCATATTTTAAATCAATTTATTTATAATACTTATAAATATATATGTACATAGATAGATAGATAGATAGATAGATAGATAGATAGATAGATAAATTCCCAAGGGATAGAATCCAGGTAGAACTCAATGTCCAATTGGATCATGATTACGATTCCAATGTAATAAATCATAATAATGGAATATTAGTGTTTGAACCTTATATATATATATATATATATATATATATATATATATATATAAAATTATGTTAACACTAGTATGAGAGGAATCATTTATTTAGAGTTTACTGAACAGTCTCAACCTGTCCACCAGCACGATTGATGCACAAAAACCAGCGATCAATAGTAAAATTTAGTACCTTGACACGCATTCCACGGGAAATGTTTGATATTACACCTTTTATTCTGTTCTTGAGTTCTCCGATGTCTCAAAGAGTTTTGCTATATACGTGATCCTTTATTACAGCCTATAAACAGAAGTCACAGGGCGTAATTGGCCCATATTTCTTTACAACTCCAACGGTGACTGAAAAGGCTTACTTACAAATGCTGCAAGACTTTGCCATTGCTAACATACCACTACAAATCAGACGAGCGGAGTATTTTCAACAGGATTGTGCACCAACTCATTTTGCCAGAACTGTTCGCGCTTGTCTCAATCAAAGTTTCCCAAATCGTTGGCTAGATCGCGGAGGACCGTTGGCATGGCCACCACACTCCCCTGATCTGGTATCCTTCAATGAGTCTATTGGAATCATTATAATCGATCCAAGGGCTCCAACTACAACAGGCATTGTTGATGTTCTCATGTGCCACTTTTTCGAGATTTCGATTTCAAGGCCCTTGTTTCTTGATAGCTTTTTGAAGATCTTCAAAAATACATTGCAGTCTTCAGGGACTGCCATATCAATAAGGAGGCATTTTTTGTTGTTTGCAGTCTCTAATAACAATGTCTGGGCGATTAGCTTTGATTGCTCTCTCTGTGTGTATTGTGTAGTAAATTGTTACAGGTCCTATCTCCGTAACTGGGTCTGAGTAGTGTTCATACCAATTTCTTTCAGTTTCCTTTCCTTAAAAGTTGCTGATTTTCCAGTGTAGATACTGGCCAACTCTGTCATGCCGTGTTTTATATTCAGTGGGTGGAAATACCGAGCAACATGATACAACATGATCTGGGTTTCTGGGTAATTATCACAGAACCTGCATTTTGGGCTATCACAATTTATTATTATTATCATTATTATTATTATTATTATTAGATTTGATATGTTCTATCACACTTTGATGTTTCGGCCTGGTGACGACAATCATACCTCAGTTCCTTCTCACAGACACCAACAATTTCATCAGCATACGAGCTGTTACAAGCAGTGTTACCATCTGGTTACTCCCAATTATGTCGTCTTTCCCCAAGGCGGTCTGAAAAGCAGAAAGATTCCTGGAAATGGTCCCTAGTGCTGTATCAACCACAAAAAGAACTTAGGCTGCTGCTTTGTATATTTCTCTGATTTGCTCTGAGTTCACGATGTACACATCCCAAACCTATCAAGATCCATTTATGACTGCTATTGTGCGAAATCAGGATGATTGCTCTCCAAGCGCTTGTCAATCAAGATAATCGTATCCCACATGATTATTAGTAACAAGAGTAGTAATATTACTACGAGTACTATACACACTGAGTGTTCACGCAAATAGTAGTCATTGGTGGCTTACACTGGTGATTAAGAGATCTGTCTTCCCAGTCCTCCAGCAAATCTTTCGTCTGGTTAGTTCCAACTGTGTCTCCAATTTTGAATTCTTCCTGCCGTTTCCTTAGGCTCTTCCGGACTTCTCCCAGTGCTCTGATAACTAATGTCATCTTTATGGTCCACAACTTCCTTTGCTCTCTTCAAGGTTGAGATACTTACGTTTTTAATTTCTTTCACATGAACTATATCTGTTGGGCTATTATTATTGGCCCGCTGCCAACTTAGACTATAAGACGAAAATACATGTAATGTATTGGATTTGCCAACAGGTTTGTTCCGCATTTGTTTTTAGATGACAATCTTACTACATTAAAAAAAAACGCTTTGAATTGCACTGTCACTGCGGTTATATCAGCAGGCACTATTTTTAAATTGGCAATATTTTGTTTGTTTATTAAATTTGAGGATGAAAGAATGAGCCACATTTTTCGATATATTATGCTTTATCATTTTTAATAAAGATAAATAACCTGCGACCGAAAAAAAAATGATCTATGCAATTTATGGAGAAGGTTATGTGAAATATAGAACGTGTCAAAAGTGGTTTGCAAAGTTTCGGTCTAGAGATTTCTCGCTAAAAGATGCTCCACAATCAAATCGGCCAGTTGGACTTGATCAAATTAAGATAGTGCTTGAAAATAACCAGAAGAACAACAACAAAAGAGAGGAGGAAGAGGAAGGAAAGAAGAATCTATTAGCCACATCGAGGATGTTTGGTACTCGGACATTTGGCCGACGGACATTTAACCAACTGGACATTTAGCCGAAAATGTAGTGGCGTACTTACATGTATGTCGCACTCTTTATCGTAATGTGCTATATATATTTATATATATTTACTGTATTAACTTATAACTATTTTTTGACAGGTCTCTTTTTAATCTATTCTGTATATATTATATTTTACTTCAAATATTACTGTAAGATGATAAGTATTTTGAGAAAAAGCTTTTACGATATGAAAGATATTTCAATTTCGCTTTTAATGATCATTGTCTTAAAGGGTGAACTAGCTTTTATCTTACTATTAAATACGAATTTAAAAAATTAGGTGCTACTTTTTACCCAGATACACTCAAATATTTTTTTAAAATACTAATTTCAATAAACCAATATTGAAATAAGTAAACTTAACTTTAAATTTAGATTTAGTAATTTAATCACTTGAAATTCATTAGTAATTATTAGTCCTATTCTACCTTATAATACTGCTAATTAAAATACTTAAAGTATTGCTTGTTACTATTTTTTACTTGTACTTGTTCGTCGGCCAAATGTCTGTTCAGCTAAATCTCTCGGCCGAATGTCCGTTGGCCAAATATCCGTTGGCCAAATCTCTGTCTGCCAAATATCCGGCCACGGTATATTTTTTTTTTTTTAATTTTAACTACACAGTATTTTCCGACCTATTGAACTCGGAATTTTTCCAAAACAATACATTAAAAAAATACCCTACGTCCAATACTACGGTATTGTGTATTCGAGGGACATGAATACCTAGAAAAAAAATGGGGTACACCAGGAATCGGTGCATGCAGAGATCTCTGAAACTAGGACTCCAAGAAGTGAACAAACATGATATCAATAAAAAATATCCCTGAAAAATTCACCCAGGAAAAAGAAATTTATGAAATTGGCCAATATTTTGTTGCTTGTTTTATAGAAGTTCCAGATTTTACAGAAATATTTACTTTGACTGATAGATTGCTGTTTGCTTTGTGTGTGTGTTTGTTGATATACATGGAATTGGTTTTTCAGCATGTATGGAACAGGACTTCATTTGCCAACAAGTACCATATTTCGGGGGGGGTGCCTATTACCTTATGTGCCATCGTCCATTGATACCAGTATATTTCTTTGCAGCTATTACGAATTTACTGTATATACTGACCTTGCCCCCTGAAAGACAGCTAAAACTATTTTCAATCAATGCATGATGAAATATACCAAAATTCTTCTTCCCCACCCACAAAAAAATAACCTGATAATTACACCTTACCTAACTTCTATTAAAAAAGTGTCAGTCGTATAATTTGTCTCAATATTGTGTTTCTTCATGGTTAGTGAGAATGTAACATAAACGTAAGGTTATAAATTTTTTTTTTTTTTTATTGTGATGTGTGCATTTTTTTCTGAATATTCAATACCAAAATGCGAGTGCGTCCTATGCATGGCTGCGACCAATATGACGGCAAATATGGTATATATATATATATATATATAAAGAGTGTACACAGAGGTCAACACCTAGTGATGACAGTCTGTCCCATGTTTCAATGTAGTCTTCTTCACGATAGCCTGGTTTGATTTAAAACATGAAACAGAGTGTCGCCGCTTGTTGACCTCAGTGTCCACTTTTATATTTATATACTCTCTATTTTCGATATCAAGCACTTTTACCCATAAATGTAGCATAACTTAGAACTCTCTCTCTCTCTCTCTCTCTCTCTATATATATATATATATATATATATATATATATATATATATATAGAAATGAAGAAATATAGTTTTAAGATGTGCTATATTTATGGGGTAAAGTGATCAATATCAGAGATATAGCGTGTGTAATAAAAAAAACTCACTCTGATCGTAATATTTATATATATTAAGACATTTTTTATCGATACAAATATTTAAGTAAATCCTCTGTTTATAATAAACAGTATTAATAACATTTACCGGCCTGAATGTCCGAGAAATTTTCACAGAAAATATTCGTCCCCGACAAGATTCGAACCTGTATCCTATACGGAACCGTCATTTAGCTTGACGTGCCTTTACCAACTTGGCCACAGTAAATTCGGTTGGCAAGGTCGAATTTACTGTATTTAAACTTCAATCTTCCATGAATCTCTCACGCACATTCATGTCTGCTTATAACGTATCAAATGTAAACAAATGACGTCAAACATTATGACTTGGAGCGAAACAACTTATATATATATATATATATATATATATATATATATATATATATATATATTTATTATTTTAACCGTTTTTTTTGCATATATACATAGACACACACATATATATATATATATATATATATATATATATATATATATATATATATATATATATATATATATATATGTATGTATGTATTTTTATTTATTCGTTCATTTTTCTTTATAAGGTTTCTCGACTATTCAAGCCGATAGACGAACATAAAATACTCTTTAAAAAATAAACGGAGCGTCTACTTAAAACTATGAGCATCCACTAAAAATAGGGTTTAAATTTTATAGCTCTAAATTTCGTTACTTTTTAAACAAACCTCGTACAGTGTCCCAAATATGTATACATACTTCAGGAAACGAAAAACTTGTTTTTTTGTACTTTTATCAAATTGCGATAACCCTGTTTACTGTAGTATTTTCTCGGCAG